TTCACACAGGGCAGAATCAGAGGATAAAGGTTGGGGCGGGGTGGGGAGAAGAAAGACCTTTTCATTAGCCTATTCTAATGAAAACCAAAAGATGGTGGTGATGAGAAGCAGTGGAAATCTCTGAGAACTGAGACAAAAATTGAAGCCACCTGTGTCAGGAGAGGAGTTTATCACCCTGGCTACAGAGCCCAAACCACAAAGCGATTGCTTGCCTAGTGGTGAGTTAATTAGAAAAGGAACAATCCTCAGTCCAGTTTCTCCAGGGTATATGACTGCAAGTGAATCTTACCATTTTTATTACTCTGTTCTCTATGTGCTGGTCACACAGCAATAGAGAGCTTTAGGGAGAGAGAGCTTCAAATGTTGAAATTTCTACAATGCTATGGGTAAGATACTCTCATCAACATGAGGACTTACATTGCAGAATCATTAAGTTACATCTGAGTAGATATTGAGACAAATAATAGAACTCTCTGTCTAAGTTGCACTGCTTTGAAGTTTACTTAAAACTTTTTTCCAGAATACTTGTTGGTGTGAGATGCATATGCAGAGCTGTTTGTCTAAACCTGTCTTGCAAATACTCGGAGATCTTGGGTGTAGCTGGCATTTCAAAGTTTGGAGCAGGATTGTCTCAGTGTGAATAGGGAGTGTCTTTAATTCATATTGATCATCAGTAGTTGAATAAATATTTGTACATGACTCCTAGCAATTTACTAAAAAAACCTGACATCAGTAATTTATATGCACATGGATTAAATCCCATTAAAATTAATTCTCGTCATGTAAAATGCATATGGATTGAATGGTAATGCTTATTTTAACATTAAACTTGGACTTTTGATCTTGTCTTTCATTTCTATGAAACAGGCCAACTGCTTGGCTCAAATAAACTAGACTTAACCAAAGCAGAACAAATCCTATTATTTTTAGGTAGACTTTTTTGGGCGTAAAATAAATGTTAGAATTCTTGGCAAGATCTGTTCTGTTCACAGTGTTCTGTCCAGATTTTTGTTTAGAGTTTAGTAAGTATATTAAATGTCACTTTGGGTTTTTTGCAAATTGTCAGTAGCAAGTGAAGAACACTACAAGAGAAGGACCTAAAAATTGAGAGAAATAGATACTCAACAAATATCCGTATCTTCAACTAATAATGAATCATAATTGTAACTTTTTTTAACTACTGCATACACAAAATGTGCTTGGCAAAAAAGGCCTTAATTTCAGAAGTAGTAAGCCGATCTGTACAGTTTACTGATGTAATTGGGATCATTTACTAGTTAAACTGCCAAAACTCCATACAGTAACCTGTAAATGTGTGCTTTCCATATTACTGTGAAATGTTTGAAACTGAGACTACTGATAATTTATGTTTATATAATGAGGAAACAAGCTAAACACTGATATATCTTTCTGCTTTCAGGTGATCACACTGATCAGTTTACTGCTCTCAAATTGGCTATAGTTAAGACAAACTTGTCCCTAATAATTGATTGATTGATTGTTTTATAAATGCCTATAATATTTTTATTATAGGTAAGCAAGTGAGAACCAAACTGTCACAGGCCTTTAATCACTGGCTGAATGTTCCAGAAGATAAAATACAGGTACTGACTGATTTTTTTTTAAAGGGATATTATCTTTCTTAGAAGACTACTGGCAACAGATGATTCTCTTATATAGCATAAATTTTTAGAAATCTTAAATGCACTGATTTCTGTATATAGTGAAGTGAACTTACAGGAAAATAACTTAAGTACAAGGCTTTGGCTGTGGTGTAACACTGAAGAAATTACTTCCATGAATTACACTTACTTCTTTCCAAGTCTGATTGTAGATAAACAGCCACCTTTGTTACCAGCTTAACATAACTCAGTTGTTAACACTGAGTTTCCAATGACTTGTGAAAGAAGCTAGACGGTTACCTTGAGAACTGCGCAAGTATAGTGGTTGAAAATAAAGTCTTACGATTTTCGTAAAAGAATATCAATGACAGCAACGTTATAAACCACTTCTTGTTCAGGACCTAAAACTGTGGGCTTCTTATCATGCAGTCTGGAGTCCTTACTTGCTAACAAGAAGCACTAAACTAGGAATTATTCTTCTCTTTTGCTTTTCTGTTGGACAAATCTTTGCAAGATAATGTGTATTTAAATGCTGTGTTTGTCAAATGAAAAATTGTCCTCTAGTTTAGCAAAATTGTAGTCTAATCTGAATATAGACAGTGCAAAACATTATATATGTCCAAGGCAATGTAAGGAATAAAAATAACCAGGTTTGGGTTTTAGCACTTAGCCAGCTGGTCTCTAGTCAATTTCATTAATTGTTGGCAGAAGTATCTCTAGAGTTTGTGAAGGAGTCTTTAGGGTGGCACAAAAGTGACACTTCATGGTCCTCAAGTAGCAAAAAGGTTTAAGTTATTTAAACAATAAAGGAAGAGCCTGCATTCATCATTTAGTAACTCTTCTTTTCAACTTCCAATCTGTCTATATAACTTTTTAGCCTGTTTCGTTCTGGTTTCCAGTTAAATGCATCTTACCCTTTGTGCTCAGCTACATATCCAAACAAATTATATTGTGTAGTAATCTGTGTAAGGTATGTAAGTCTAATGTCAGAGATCAGAATTAAATCTAGAAGATGCCTCTAGAAGTTATCTAGGACAACCACTTGCTTGAAGTAGAACTTGTTCCATAGGTACTTTATGCTTCTGGGGGCCTTGCTGAGTTTCAAAATTTGAGAATGTAGATTCTATAGCCTCTCAGGGTCTGTCTTCTCTTGCTGAACCCCTTTATGATAACAAACCCTTCCATTCTGTCCAGCTAGGATCTCTTATGCTGCACTCTCACTGTTGCCTCTTGCCCTTTTGCTGAGCACCTGTAACAGTATGGGTCCATCTTCTCCTGTGTACTATAGTAGACTAAAGCTGCAGTGCCTCTATATGAACACAAGTTACCAGCTCTTCCTGTCTCTTTTAAACTGCTGATCATGTAACCATTATTGAAAACTTAGACTACTTCTTTTGGCTATCTTTGTGAAGGAAACTGATACCTTAATGTTTCCTTTACCGCTTTACCAGGTGTTTTTGATGGAACACCATATTTTTATTCTGCAGGTCATTTGAGGGTAAAAGATGACTCTGTCATCTTTTAATCTGCATCCTGACATAGGTATTACTGGTTTTGTGCAGACTCGTACTAATTTTAATACCTTAAAGCTGCTGAAGTCTGGAGTACCACCTCTAGTCATCTTTTTTGACAGATCTTGTAATCTTCTTAATATGTCCCATGTATCTAGTAGCCTGATTCCCTTCCAGCTGTTTGTATTTCTTTTACCTTAGGTAATTTGTCTTGATGTAGTTTATTTAGATAATACAGTTAAGACTACTGTTCCTTGGTAGTGGATTTCACTTTTTCCTGAGTCAAGTGGTTTCTCTTCTTTTTTTTTTTTTTTTTTTTTTTTTTAAATGACTACATCTCTAGTACCCATCTTATGCTTCACTGAGATGCTTTAGCTTGCTGAATTAGAAAACACTGGGTTTGTCAGATGAACTTTCTTCTGAGAAGGCCCTGAAGTGGCCTAGTATGGGGCCAAGGAAATATTAAAGCTTTTGCAGGTAAGGAGGTAGAAATCTGTATGTTGGAGTGATAGTGCAGTAGCTACTGATAGGCTTAAGCTGTAAGAAGGCATAACATTCTGGTTTTTTAGCTTTCATTGTGAAAAACAGTCATTTCCTTGAACTCTTTTCTGATGTCTTATAAAATAGGTTTTTTCTGTTTTCTGAACTTTTTTCGCTCCTTACTTTAAACTCTGAAACATTTTTGACACTGTCTTAAGTTCACAAGATAACTTAGTTCAAACACAGAGTCATGAAGCACTGTTTCAATTAAACTTTAAATGTCTAGAAGCTGCAAAAGTTAATGAAACTGCCAGTGATGTGAAATAGGTTAGCAAGAGAAATGCTAGAATATGCTTATCCAAGGAATTTACAGAGTACAGGTAAACTTTCCTGATTGTACTGAGAATGATATAATGGACTAAGAATATTCAGATGAGTGTAGGCAAAGTCACTTTCAGTAAGTACTCTATCCTCTGATTTCAAGTAAGTGGGCAAGAACGTATCTTTATAGGTCAAAGTAGGGCTCACTTCTAACTGGTAGATAAGTCATTAGTGCTCCTTAAGTAGATTATTCTTGCCATCATATCTTGCACAAACAATTAAGTTGCTGGAGTTTGGGTTTTAATCTTTGGGACAATGGTCACTGAACAGTAGGTGGCCTGCTGCTCAGGAAGCATGTGCTGAATATACCTGTTTCTTGCATAGCACCGGTGCGATGAAAACAGTATATAGTGTTAAAACCCTTAATTTCTTGTGGAATTGTCCAGCTTTGGGATTCAGGTTCACCTTTAGTCAAATGTAGTCAGCCACAAGCCTGGTGTTCCAAAAGGTTTATTTCACACTTCAGGTGATGTGTATTTGTCTACCTCGAAACAAGTAGTAAGTGTATAGGAAGTTATAACTGTTGCCTTTCTGCCAAGAATTTTTCTAAATGATGTCTGAGAGAATAGTCTGTCCTTTAAGAGCTCAGTACTGAAGTGTGGAGAAAGAAAGATGAACTCTCTCCGCTTACCAAAATGAAGTTTGAGACAAATGTGTTAGCGGGTACCTGACATCCTCAAGAACTGACTTTGGCAGATCTCAGGTTAGTGAAGCTAAACTTGTCACAACATTGTGTTGCTTTTCCTTTGTTCATGTTTCTAATAATAGTTACTGCATGACTCCTAGACAGTGGTGTATTTTAGAACTGTAGCAGCAATGAAGAGGATCGTGCAAATGGAAACACTTCAGGGAGTAAGTTCACTTTGAATCTGAAAATGTTACACAAAGGACAGACTATATGATCCTAGGACTTAGAGCAAACTGAAGGATGAAGAGAATCCTGAATCTGTGTTAAAAGTAAAAGCAAGTGGTCTAAAGGGGAACCTCAGTGAAAAAGTATATAATTCTTTAAAACTGTACCCATTTTAAATAAGGTCTTGCAAAACTGGAAGTTAAATTACAGTGGGAGACTTAATAATTTTCTCTTCTTGTAATAGGTTATCATTGAAGTGACGGAGATGTTGCACAATGCAAGCCTACTTGTGGATGATATTGAAGATAACTCAAAGCTACGACGGGGCTTTCCTGTGGCACACAGTATCTATGGAATTCCATCTGTAATCAACTGTGCTAATTATGTGTACTTCCTTGGCTTAGAGAAGGTTTTAACGCTTGATCATCCAGATGCTGTTAAAGTTTTTACCCGTCAACTTCTGGAACTCCATAAAGGTCAAGGCTTGGATATTTACTGGAGGGATACTTATACGTGTCCTACAGAAGCTGAATATAAAGCTATGGTCCTGCAGAAGACAGGTGGCCTCTTTGGATTAGCTGTAGGCCTCATGCAGCTGTTCTCAGATTATAAAAAAGACTTAAAACCACTTCTTAACACACTTGGCCTCTTCTTCCAAATAAGAGATGACTATGCCAATTTGCACTCCAAAGAATATAGTGAAAACAAGAGTTTTTGTGAAGACTTAACTGAGGGCAAGTTCTCATTTCCAACCATTCATGCAATTTGGTCAAGACCTGAAAGTACTCAGGTGCAAAACATTTTACGTCAAAGGACAGAGAACATAGATATAAAAAAATACTGTGTACATTACCTTGAAAAAGTGGGTTCCTTTGAGTACACTCGGAATACATTGAAAGAGCTTGAATCTGAAGCCTATAAACAAATCGAATCACTTGGGGGAAACCCTGAGCTTGTAGCACTGGTTAAACAGCTGAGCCAAATGTTCAAAGAAAGTGAAAATTAAAAATTTGACTCCTGGATTAAAACTCCTTTTAAAAGGGAAAAATAACAAGACTGAGAGGTGTGATAATCAGTGTCACTTAAAACGCTTTTTCTGGTAACTATGTTAAAAAATTACTGTTAAAAACAATTTGTCACCGAGTATTGCAATATGTATACCACTATACAATCTTTAACTGCTTACAGATGGCTTTGTTAAAGGAGATGTAGTATAAGTGAAACAAGGTTTGAATCTAAATATGATCATCTTCACACAGTCATCGCATTATCTCAGGCCTAAAAATGATATCTTTAACCAGGCTACTTGACGTTTTTGGCTGAAATTCTGTGTTAAATTAAATCAGATTGACCTGAGTGTATTGCGTTTTCAAACAATGCTTTAGTAAACCAAAATGTACAGTGTTAAATAACAAAAGATACTTGTAACCACAGTGCACATAAAGCTGTTGTGTGATATTTCTAAGTTAGACTTGTGAAGATCAGCTTACTAAGTTCTAGAGTATCTTATCCAGCTTCTGGGGATACTTTCAGGGGAATGCGTATTATGAAAGAGTATTTTATATGCAAATAAGGAAAATATTTAGTTTGAAGTTGTAGCATTATAAAAATTTCTAAGTACCGTAGAGAAAAGAGTCCATTTCATCAGCAATGCATAAATTTGCCACTGATTCCAGCTTTGCAGTGAAGAGTTTTTATCACCCAGTTTTAGAGTTTTAACCTGTCAAGTATTTTATAGCCAGAAACTTAAATCTATGCATTAAAGCTCATACATGTAACTATACATAGCAACAGAGTAAACTGCTACTAGAAATGGAATTAGGATTCATGCAGGTTAACTTTAAGACGTGGTAATTGGTGCAGGTCTCTTTCATCTCTGCTTACAGTGGAGAGAGGCTTCTTCAGGAGTTGATTCATTATTCATACTGCATTCCTGTTCTGAATTGTTATCTGGAGACATGTTATAGGTCTTTTCAGAGAGACAAGTTCTGTAATTTTTTGCTAAAACAAAGTACAGCATGCCTTGTTCTACAAGCTATTACTATTGTCAGTTACGTAAATAGTGCTTTAAAGTTATATACACAGGCATATCGAAACAGAACTGGAACTGAGAGCAAGATTGGGGGGGGCTGATAAGTGACAAAAGCCTCTGTTTATGTACATCTGAATATATATATGAGCAAAGTGTAAGCAGAGATACTTGTTTCTTCTTGGCTGGCCTGGCTCCAATTGATTTCTGTTCCCTTAGTCTTCACAGCCACATAAAGCTTTACTTTGGTGTAGGGAGGTGGCAATTTGGATAAAAGGTAATACTGGTGCTGTCAGCAGTTGTTTTAGTTCAAGCATGCTCTCAAAAGAAATGGTCAGAGGTACTTGGCTTCTGACAGCTAAAGGATAGTTTTATGCAGGTATTCATTCACTGTGCCTGGAAAGCAGAGTCATGGTCTCAACCTGCTGAGAAAACTGACTGAAGAAGGTTTTTGTAATATCTTCCCTGGGCAGCCTTAGGATTCTTCTGAAAGTGATGACGCCTGAAAAAAGTCAGGATGACTGCTTTCAGTCAGAGACAAGGTGTAGTTAGGAATGATAGCCTCTCACTTCTGTCTGCATGCTAAGAAGGAATCTTTGGCTGCTCCGATTAGGCACAGAATAATAGCCTTTTCACTGAATGGACCTGGTCACAAGGACTCAGTAGCTTAAAGTTGGTGGAAGATGTCTGGTTTTGAATGTTAATGACAGTGAGTTATAATTCTTTTTTCATAACTTGCAGTGGTTAGTAGTAAGCCTGTAAATCTTTTAACATTTTATGAGAAAATGCTATCTGCAGCAAAGCACAATTTTTGTGTGATATCTTGGGAGATTCTAAGCACTGTTGCAGTAGATGTTCAATAGGAAAGAGTACAGGAAAACTATTGTTGTCAGGAGAATCTCCTAGTCTTACTGTAAAATATACCTTTGTGCCTATTGTAACCAACATACAATGCAAAGTGCACTTAGTGTCTGCTCATTTGCTGATGTGATGTTTCAGTTGCTGTTTCTGGAACATAGGGTGTAAGTTACCTAATCATTCAGTAAAGTAATTACTGAAGACTGTGAAAAGGAAAAATGGTTTTGGTTATGCTGTTTTGAAATACACAAAGTGGCCTGTTCTCTTGCTTGTAATCAAGTATATGTTATTCTGCAGTGAATTTGTGTTAGCTGAGGGAGGTGTAACAACTTTTCACCACCCTGATAAAATCAGGCTGACACCAAGGCCATGTGAAAAATTAAAAGGAAATAAACCACAGAAATGTTTGCAAGGAAAAAGCCACAAAGTTCTTTAAAAACAGAATTTCAGATAATTTCAGAGTTAATATGTGGAACTAACTCCTGCAGTTTTTCTGTGGCTTTAACCTATTGCTACTTAAGCTCCCTTCTTTTAAGGGGTGGGATGAGGTGTACAGTTCAAAGTAAAAACCTCTGGAGAAATTGTCATCATAACTATTCCCAGAAATGTAAGAACTGTGCTGTAAGTCTTATCTCTTATATATTACACCAACCATAAAGAGTGTTCAATAAATTCTGAAATCCCTTTTCACTGAGGTGCTTATAAAAAGCAGAAGTTGCAATTCTAGGTAATAAGGTGAAAAGGTTAAATTGGTCTAGTTGTTTTATTGACATTGGAACTGCCCTGTTTCTTGTCAAGTATGTGAGATGAACTTTAGCTACTTGTTGATTACAGAAAAAACAAGAAATGCAAAGAAACAAGAATTTGCATTATTATTTTAGAAAGAGTAAATACAAGAATTTTACAACATGTATGTACATTCTGAGAATGTCTGAGTTATATATCAATGTGCTGCTGGGGTCAGAGAGATAGTGAGAACTATTGTTTTCAATACCAATGCAGTCAAACAGCAGAGCACGCTCTCGGGTTTGTGCTCTGGAACAGTGAATGGGTCAGAAAAGGAGGGCAAGAGGGTTTATTGCCATTGTTTCTGCTGTTGTACCACAATCTGTGGAGCTTCAGCATCTTTCAACGCTGGAACAGGTAGTTTGAAGGGGGCTCACTGTGGGCAAGAAACGGGCTCAGGAACCCAAAGGGCACAGCGACACCACCGAAGAAAAAGTGCTGGAGAAGGACTCAGGTATCTAGTTTGGTTTGGTTTTTTTTTTTGGTTTTTTTTTTCACTGAGACTAGTTGGCCTAAGAAAGCACATAGCCTTTGGCAAAGGAAGACTGTAAGGTAAAGGCACGGAGCTGGTCCCTGGAATGCTCCTTGGAGAAGCCGCTGCTCTGTGTGCCAGGCAGTAAAGCACATCCTCACAGCCTGTCACTTGAATATGAAAGCTGTCAGCATCCCAAAGAGTTTATGTATTACCCAGATTACTTTGACTGGAATATACTTGTCTTGCCAAATACCTGCACTTGACTTCTGTGAGCAATATTGCAGAATCAGAGCAAAGAGTATGAATATGTACAGAGTTAAGGTAACAAAAGCAGAGATACAGCTCTGAAATAGCTTCTCGAGTGCTGTGATTGTTGGAGCCTTTGTGGTCTTAAAATTCACGAGAGTGTTTGAACTGAGTTGTTAGCACGAAGCACAGCAGAGACGAAGGAAATGTGGGAAATGCCAACTGGGATGCTTTGACTTTTTAACCCCACGTGTGTGAAAGCTGTGTGACCGTGTCCTGAATGTCTCTGAAACGGAACAGCCAGCGTAGCCTGACACCACCAGGTCGCTGCTGAATCCATCGCGTTCTTTTAATCATTAGCCAGCCCCGTCCTGAATCGGTTATAAC